ATTAAAAACGATAGTACAAGCATAATTATTTAAGTCTAATTCAATTTGTTGAAATAAATCCAAAGCTTTTTCTGACATTTGTTTCTTGACATATCCTAAAATAGAAACTTACAAATATTCCAAAATTTATATAGTATATTTTACCTTTCATCAAAGCACCATAAGTAATAATATTTTTATTTTTAATTGATTGAAAAAGATTTTCAGCATTTTGAATATCACCAAATTTTATTAACATTTGTATTGCTGAATTCAATACAACATTATCATTTCGAAGATTTTCAGACATTTGATCAAGAAGTTTTTTCCCTATTTTCATTGCTCGATCATTGGCAAGTTCAGTACAGGCATTAAAAGCAATAGTATAAGCAACGTTATTTAAGTTTAATTCAATTTGTTCAATTAAATCCAAAGCTTTTTCTGACATTTGATTCTTGACATATCCTAAAATAGAAACTTACAAATATTCTAAAATCTGTTTAATTATATTTTACCTTTCATCATAGCACCATAAGTAATAATATCTTTCTTTTTTATTGATTGAAAAAGATTTTCAGCATTTTGAATATCACCAAATTTTATTAACATATTTATCGCTGAAGTTAATACAACATTATCATTTCGAAAATTTCGAGGCATTTCACCAAGAACCTTTTTTCCTATTTTAATTGCTCGATCATTAGCAAGTTCAGCACAGGCATTAAAAACAATAGCATATGTACGGTTATCTAATTCTATATTGATTTGTTTGAATACATTCAATGCCTTTTCAGACATTTGATTTTCGATATACCCTAAAATTGAACCTTGTAAACATCGTAAAATCTGTTTAATACACTTTACCTTTCATCATAGCACCATAAGTAATAATATCCTTCTTTTTAATTGATTGAAAAAGATTTTCAGCATTTTGAATATCACCAAATTTTATTAACATATGAATTGCTGAAGTTAATACAATATTATCATTTCGAAGATTTTCGGGCATTTTATCAAGAAGTTTTTTTCCAATTTTCCTTGCTCGATTATTAGCAAGTGCAGCACAAGCATTAAATAAAACAGTGACAGTATACTTGTTAGCTTCGATTGTGATTTCGTCGAATAAGTCAAGGACTTTTTCGGGCATGTTATTAGAGATAAGACCTATTTAAAATAACTATGTCACAAGTAAAACTCAAAAGAAATACTAACCTTTGAACATAACTGTGTAGATATAGTTGGATTTGTTTGTAATTTTTGAGAATAGACGAGTTGCATTGACAATATCACCATGCTGCACTAAAAATAATAACAACATAATCGATATAAGTTTGCATTGAGTATTGCACGTCGTAAGAAACTATTTGCATAGCTATCGACATGTTAGAAGATCTCAGGTCTAGTTATCTATCTTATCATTTACAAGTTATCTGCGATCTTCTATTATGCCTATCAAAATAATTAATTTTGCTGATCTCGCCAAACTTCAGTTTCAAGACATTTTTGCCTAATGCATTATTAGGAAACGACTTTATTTTACATTCGAACAGCTAGAAAGACAGACACATTTATTCCTGCGAACAAAAGAAAATCGTCGTTGATACAGGTGTCTTCAGAAAATTACAACTAACGTCTCGCAATATCTTGATACAATGTGTAATGGAATCCTGTTTTTTTTGAAGAATAAAAATGTGCCACTGAAAATATAATAGCTTCTCAAAAATTGAATAGTTAAAAAAATAAAGAGAAAAAAATTTTATTTTTGTCATACTTATCTAAGGGAGTTAACTTATGTTGAAATCTAATTAATATGGATAATAATTCGTTGACAATGATATCTACTGCTAATATAGCCATTTATCAAAAAGTAATTTTAATAAATGCGATTTTCTGATAAATAATTTCTTTTTTATTTTTCAAAAAATTCCTTGATATATGACTGACCAAAGAAATACGTGATCTGACTGATAAGAACTATTCACAGAACAAACCTTGGCATACACATATGAATTTAATTTTTCATGTATTATGAAGAATTGATTTGTGGTAAAAGTTTTTCTGAATTTTTATAATCAAGTCTATATTACAAAGGTATTTTAATTGATGTAAAACGGAAATTTACCTAATATTTTACTCTTTTACAAAAACCTTTTTTTGTGTATTCGACACTCGACTGTAGAATAAGTCTATTGTATCTGGCGAGTACAAGAGTTTTTTCTTTTCATATAAAGAGCATTAATAATTGTTTTAGAGTAAGCTTCGAATGATAATTAAAATAATTACACGACATTATCTCTATGAAGAAATTCATTCTTGAACTGAAAAATATTTTTTTATTAGCTACGTCTCAAGATATCTATAATTTTGAACTGACTTTCCTTTCTAATGAGTAGCACGATACTATCTATATTGAACTTAGATTTCTCTATGAGTTTAAATACTAAGGAAAGTCAATAAGCTGTAGATATTAATTTTAAAAGTTCTTTTTCTGACGATCGGCAGCACAAGGAAAGAAACTTTGGATATGTCTTTTGCTTCATTTATCGAAGGTGAATCTTCTAATATGTTGACAATTTACTTTAACTTTTCGTACTTCTTTCATTTAATAAAACTATAAATGTAGGTATTTATTCGATGTAATTTGTGCTTATTATTCAACTTTGGTAAGAGTATTTGCTACACAAACTTCGAATTTGAGAGGAATACTTGCATAGTTTTATCAGAGTATAAGTAGTTCGAGTTAGTACGAAAGATGTCATACTACACGTACTATCTAGAATGTTACAAGTATCAAATGAGATTCTATAGAGAATATATCTTGTTAGCATTTGAAAAGCTGTATATTTCATATTCAGATAGCTATCGTAGCAAGTTCTCTCTTCTTACTTAACTAAAAATGCAAGTACAATAATTATACTTCGTGTATTTGTCGTAGTTTTGCTAATTAATATTAGTTGCTAAAGATATGATTATGTTCTTGTTGAATGTTTAACATAAATAATCAAAAAATATTGTATTTCCTCCTGTCTATGATGTTTTTTTTAATTATATTTGCCTCATGAAATAAAATCAGTCGGAAATCTGATTGAAGATCTGCAGTAACTTTTGACATATTTTATAGTTAATGATTCTCAATAGTTTAAGTGAATATAATATGAAAGAAAATGTTATTTTTCTATTGAAATGGAAAGAATAAATTTTTTTTGTTTTGATCAATTTGAGCGATTGAAGATGTTTCATTTACTTAAATGAAATCTATAATTATGTAAATCTTATTCCGATGAGAAGATGTAAAAAAAAAATGGAATTATTTCATTAAAATTGAATATTCATATATTTTCTTTATAATACAATATTATTGTGATTAATAAAATAAATGACTCACTATGAAATTGAATTAATGATGCTTGAATATAAGAATTATTAATTGAATTTGATGAGAGGTTTCGTTCGATTTTAATACCACGGTTGTAATCTTTTGACATAGTACATGCTTTTATTGCCATACTAATTGTAAAATCTGTACATTGTTCAAATTTTTGATCGAACAGTTCAAGAGCTTCTTTATATTGTTTAGAATCAAAAAGTTTCTTCAATTTTGAATTTAATTGTATAGATGACGAATTCGAACATATTCTGTTATTTTTTTGATAGAAAGATAATACACGTTGGAATCGATAAATCGAATAAATATTATTTCTAATTGATAACATTTGTTAATCTAAAATATTAAAGTTATTATTAAGATTTCACTTTTTTTTCAGAAAGAGAAAAGAATATTGATAATAAAAAATATTCTCCTTTATTGTTACAAATAAATGTGTTATCAATGTCGATCGTCGTTCAGATGGATGAGAAGAAAAACAAATAAATCCAATAATTTCTTGTTCATGCATAACATTATCATCTTCAGCTGTTATAACAGTAACAAGTATATGTCGACGTGATAGTTTATTTATATATTCAATATAGATGTTATTCAGAAATCATGTGATTATTTAATATAGTTTCGACTGTCGTAAAAATATCGATCAAAAAACTTGAAGTAGAAGAATTGTGGTTAGCTAAAGATTTTTGACCGATTATTGCGCTATGGGCAGGCGCATTAAGTGAAATAAAATGAAAGTCATCCTTCCATCGATTCAAATAGAGATAGATATATCTAAAGACATAATCTATACAGTACGAATTTTAAGTAAATTGGAACAACTGGAATTCAAAAATTAGCCTGGCAACATTGGTATTGATCACTGGAAAAATCTTTTAATTTGAATATGTGGTTTTTGAGGGAAAAAATTAATTTTTTCTGAACTAATTTTTGTAAATGTCTAAGCTCAATAAAAACAAGACACGTCGCTTAGCTAGAGCCCATCGGGTCCGGGTCCAGAAATTTTAAACGCTCCTAAACCATATAGCAGATTATCCAAAGAACCATAATTTTTCCTTTAAACTTCTTTTTTCAGACTTCAAAGTATTTCTATTGAAAGTCAATCGTATATTCGAAATCAGCGTGCAAAATCACATCAGATGATGTATGACATAAGACATTTGCTAACCAAAAAAATTTTTTTTTCGGAAAAATATGGGCAAGAGGAAGGGACAGATCACACAAGCTGAGGATCTTAAAACGAGTAAAAATCTCCTCAGGTGAATTTCGTATAGTTACATATGAATGTTGAAATGATGGTTTAGATTTTATATTTTAATCTTGTAATATGATAAATAACAAATGAAGTTATTAATGCTGATGATATTAAAAATGAAATAATAAGACGAGAAAAAATAAACATTGATATAATAATACAAAGAAGAAGAAGAAGAAGAAGAAGAAATGTAAATCGATTACGAAAACAAGCACGTGATAATGGTATAAGAATTTCAACACGTTCTTCAATACATAAACGTTGAATATCGAAACGATTAGAAAGTGAAAAATGACGAATATTATATGTTTTACGACCAGATTTTGCTTTTAATATTGAACTTTTTATTGCTGTACAAGATTCCATATTCTCCTACAAAAATTTTCTACAATCAAATACATTAGAATTAATTCATTTGAAAATCATTAATAATAGAACATCAAAAATTTTATTATCAATTTGTTCAAACTCATATTCTATCGATTGTTAAGATTCAATGTGCAAATGAAAATCCTAAATAGGTTTGTGAGCAATTAGTCAATATATTGAATTTCTCTTAAGATATTAAGAAAATAAAATTTTATTTAACAAATTGATCGAATCTCTATATCATAAGTTTTGAACTTCGATGAAAGTTAGTTTATATGCAAATAGAGAATGCTCTCTAGTTGAATCTCAGTACTTCTAGTCGATGTTTCATATAACATAATAGTGAATGATATTTTCACTTTGAAAAATAGTTATATAAATAGAAGAATATAATGCTTCAGTATTCGAAATAGAACAACGACTTTTTTTTTTCTTAAAGTTATCTCAACCAGGATTAAAGATCATAGTTAAATATCCTATGGTTTTGAGCGAATTATCTCATAAATCATATCAATCATTAAAAGAAAATGAGTATTGAAGAACTTTTAAAATCCGATACGAATAAATTTCTAGAATAGTTTTCTCTAGACCAGGATAAAAAAAAAGACTTGGTCTCACACATCTCTGAGAAAACTACATTCATTAAATTTCTATAAGATTTAGTGAAGTAATAATAAATAGTAGAGAACAAATACATGATATTTAACTGATATTTTATGTATAATTAACTTATTATTAAGATTTTTCTTTTTTTCTTAATCAAATTTTGCTATTGATATTTCTATTCTTACAAGAGAAAAATATCACCTAATACAATATTATTTGAAACATTGACATGAATAGTCAAACTTCATATAAATACATTCTGTTACAGATCATATCTTCTATGGATATAAATTAATGTTTGTCAAGGTTCAGAATTAAGAAAAAAAATATATAAAATTAAAAGATTGAATAAAAATTTTTAAACATCAAACAAAATATCATATTGTTTATTTTATTTTGTAAGATCATTGAAGCCAAACAAAAAAAAAAAACAAATATCAAATTTTCTTATAATACACACCAAATAATTTTTTCGGTTATTTTATTGTCTCTTATTTAATTAGCAACTTTAGGTACATGATCATTAAAGTGAATAAACAGCTGAATTTAAAACATCAACAATACGATTTAAAAATGAATAAAGTTTTTCACTTGTTTTTGTTCAAGTATAACACGAAGTGTTTCACGTGCTTTTGATGTGGTCGTAATTCATTTATTAAATGATGAATATTTATAAAAAGTAATTCAATTTCGTGTAATTTTTGTTCACGTAATGTTATATATGTCCACTCTCAAGACTTGGTATTACTGTCGAATGTAAAACAATTTGTAATAAATCAAGATAATTTGTTAATATAGCAAAACATAATTTTTTAAATTCACCTTTATAATCATCAGGACATGTATAAACACGTGGAATTTGTTGAGCTGCTAATGAACGTATAATTGGTTCAGAATGATCAATACCATTAACATAAAGACCAAATAATTCATAAGGATCCTAATAGAACAAAAAAAAAAAAAAAAAAAATTTATATTAAATTAATAATTAAATAAAATATTGACTTCAATAGGTGGTGATGGTTGTAAAATTTTATTATTTTAACGAATATTATCATCACTAAATAGTTCAATATAACTCATTGGTGGTAATGGAAATGCACTACTTAAAAGAGGTGGTGGATCCATAAATAATAATCTATCTAAAATAATATAATCAAAATGACGATGATAATTGTGTCTTCGTCATCATTGTTCTTAAAAGTAAATTTTGATTGGAAGTTCACATGACTGTCGCTACTTGCAACTTACGAATAAAAGCGACACATGAAATATTACCATAAATGAAGAGTTATTTATAATCAATGGTGGATCTAAGATTTGGAGAAAATGATTTCAATTTTTCTTTGCTTTTGTTCAAGTCTACTCAGGTCGAACAATCAGATAGTATGATCAGACATGAAATTTTATATGAGCATATCCGATCGTGTTCAAGATTTATACATATGCATATAGTATCATACGAAAAATCGTCCTCTAAGAAATTTGATGTCAAGACTGGCATCAAGTTTTCGTATACGATTTTACAATACGATCAGTCATAATTCTATAAAATCATATTCTAAGATTATTATTGAATTATGCTCGGATATATATTTTTTGATGTTCTCGAAAAGCACTAGACTAAATACAGTTCACACTGTAAAAAAAAATATCTGTTCGCACGTACACGCTCCGACCCTTTTTTTTGGTTTCGAAAAAGTGGAGTTTCTTACTGAACTCTTTCTAAATAATTAAAGAAAAAAGTTTCGTACCAAACTGTTGTACATAATTATGGTAAAGGTTCCGTACAGAAGGTTTTGTTGTGTACTCAAAAAGTGAGTACACTCTAGAATCGGTCAGTATGTCCGGCCGGCCGTTAACACGATAACTTTTGAAAGGAGAGTCCAATCGCGATGAAATTTTCTACACAGTTCAGTCTTAACAATGTCTCGGTCGAGAGAAGAAGATGAGAATGATTGGCCGAACCATTGCTGAGTTATTGCAAAAATAGTCATTTTTCCCTATGCCTTCCTATGCGAGAATCGACCTATCCCCACTTTCGTAACAAAACTTTTCCTATTATAGTCAAATAAAACCCCAACTATTATACACCATTCGATAGAGAATTTCACGAGCTACAAAATGGTATATAAAACATAAAGAAATAAGAAGACTAACTCACCTATTGCAAAGGTAATTAAACGGGAATTGGTTCTGTTCGTGTTCACACTCTAATTGATCGACAATTAGAGCTCTGTCTTTCGATCATAGAGATGACAGTTCGAGGTTTTTGGGTCGGAGAACTCCAATCTGAGCTCCGTTTGCCTCGAACTTCTATTGGTTGAGTAGTAACCAATAGAAATCAAGTTATCGGAAAAACGACTTTCCTAGGGTAAATCAAGGCGAAGAGTTCAAATCTGAGCTCTATTCATCTCTAAATCCTAGTGGTTGAGCACTAGCCAATAGAAATCAACTGTTTATAGAAAAAGGTTTGCCAGGATAATTTTTATGCTCACACATTCTAGGATGACTAATCAGTCTCATTCACTTTTTTGTGTACTCAAAAAGTGTTTGTGTACTCAAAAAGTGAGTACACTCTAAAATCGGTCAGTGTGTCCGGCCGGCCGTTTACACGATAATCCTTGAAACATATCATCCGATTGTGATGCAATTTTGCAGATAGAATTGTCTCATCAATATCTCGGTCGAGTTCGAAGATGAGGATGATTGGTCAAGAAATGGCTGAGTTATAGCAAAAAAAGTCATTATTTCCTACGTTTTTGTGTACTCAAAAAGTGAGTACAGTCTAGAATCGGTCAGTGTGTCCGGCCGTCCGTCCGTCCGTTTACACGATAACTTTTGAAAGAAGAGTCCAATCGCGATGAAATTTTCTACACAGTTTAGTCTTAACAATATCTCGGTCGAGTTCGAAGATGAGAATGATTGGCCGAGCCATTGCTGAGTTATTGCAAAAATAGTCATTTTTCTCTATGCTTCCCTATGAGAAGATAGACCCTTCTCTGTTTTCGTAAAAAGCTTTTCCTATCATAGCTAAATAAAACCTCAACTATTATATACCATTCGATAGAGAATTTCACGAACTACAAAATGGTATATAAAACATAAGGAAACAAGAAAGTTAACACACCTGTTGCAAAGATAATTAAACGGAATTCGGTTCTGTGTTTGTCCACGCTCTAATTGATCTATAAATAGAGCTCTATCTTCCGATCACAGAGATGATAGTTCGAGGTTTTCTGGGGTGGAGAACTCGAATCTGTGTTCCATTCGCCTCGAAATTCCATTGGTTGAGCAGTGACCAATAGAAATCAAGTTATAGGAAAAACGAGTTTCTTAGGGTAAATCAAGGTGAAGAGTTCAAATCTGAGCTGTATCTGCCTCCAAATCCTATTGGTTGAGCAGTAGCCAATAGAAATCAAGCGTTTATAGAAAAGGTTTGCCAGGACAATTTTGATGGCCACACATTCTAGGATGACTCATCTGTCTCATTTACTTTTTGAAGTACACATAACTCTCGGATTTAAATCCGAGGTTTCCACATTTATTTTCTGTAAAATGTGGATACTTATTTCCAATTGATTTTCTCGATAAAGTAAGATCCGTTTTCGTTGAAACTTTTAACGCTTACCAAGGATCATGGGGCCTACATATAGGCGAAATTTCAGATAAAAAGTTCGTCATTCGATTGTTTGCTAATAGGTCCTTCTATCTAGATGAAAATGAGAAATGTTTGTTTTTACTTGTAGTCATAGACTAGAATTCTAAACCTATTTATACTCAAAGATTATATGATAACTTGTGATGATTTCGATATGATACGAATATAATATAAGGAAGAGGTATTTGTCAAACATCAGCAACATTATCAGTTGATGATATAAAACTTTTATTAGTTGGTTTTGTTGATGTAGAATAATTTAGTGAAGATAGAGGTGGTGATGGACGAGAATCAAATATACGTTTGACTCGATATGAAATTCATAGAATTGTTTATGTTCTTAGAAGGTATCAATAAAAACATTCGATTGTTTTCGATTGATTTTTTTTCTTCTCTTATTTTCATTTGTAGAACTCGACAAATTGAAGATGAAGAAAACTAATCTTAGTCATCCTGATTTATTAATAAATGAAGCATTTGAAGTCGATGGTCCATTTCTTTCTAACAACATTTAAATTAATTATAATCAAACCAAATGATTGGGAAAAAAATCTTCGTATTTTTATTGAAAAACTTCTTCTTATTACAAATATTCGATCAGTCAATAGATGAAATGATCGAATAAAGTAATAACAAAATTAATTTTAGAATGAAAACAAAATGTTAAATATGATTATTTGTCTTTTCTAGAATTGCTGTTAAAATCATTAAAATCATTTTCAACTTATAAAACAACTCTTCTCTTTTTTGATCTTGTCAATGGATTTTTTTTTCATATGTTAAATACGGTAAAATAAAGAATAAATGATAATAACATTTTTTTTCATTGAAATATTTGAACGATTATTTAATGCATTAGATTTAACTCAATTCTAAGAACAATGGATAGAATATCCTATTAAGAGATTCCCATAAAAAGAAAGAATAAATAAAACTCGTTACGTCCACTCTTTAGTCATCCTAGAACTTTATCAAATTTACGTTTCTTTCCGTCTTCAATATTTTAAGTTTATTCTTCTTTTGTTTGTTTTTTTTCAAGCTAAAAATAAAAAAACATTAAAAAAACCAAACAAACATACAAACAAGCGATTACTTGTTTTCTACATTATTCTCTTATGTGGAACATATAAGCGTATATTCAACTAGAAAGAGATAAACCTATTAGTGCATCAGACATTTTTTCACCATCGTTATCAACAATGCCTCTCACGGTTTGAAATGTGCGGAACCACGGGAAAGAAAACGTTGCCAAGATCGACATCGAAGCTAGAAGAAAAACAAAGTTGTCCAAATCGGAAGTGAAGATAATAGATAAATATTCTCTCATTTGAATCAAATTATGTTATAAATGATAAAAATGTTAGTCATCGACCAGATAAATAAAAAACATAACTATTGAACAGTTTTTTTTAGATCTGACACGAATAAATGTTTGAATAGATTTCTATAGAGTGGAACCAAACTTTTTGATTGGACACATCTCTAGTCAGAGTCTGTGACGTTCCCATAGTTATGTTTGTTACAATCTGTAGGAGAGGAGGAGTTAGCTGCAAATTTGTAACCCCTATACTTCTTCAATGTTGGATAAATTCATTTTGAAGCGACATTATACACTTAATTCAAGATTATCGACCTAAAAAAGATCTCTCTTTTACTTTATCGAAAACATCGACATTAACCAATATATTCTTATAGGCAACAAAAAAATGATCATGTTCGTCTGACTTTGATGGTATTCAGTATTATATTTTCAACAAGTTCATATGATAACGAGTAGGAACATTTTCTATTAAATCGAATGTGTGTTGTTCGAAGAGAAAAACTTAGCTCGAGATGAGATATTGAAATATATCTATTAAAAGTGACTAGCCTTGATTAATTTAGGTTGGGTTCGTTCTCATATTCGAAGCTAACTTTCGAAATAATAATGTCGAGTTTATTAAAATTTTCGACAATTTGATGAAATAGTTCATTTATTGATAGATCTGACTGAACCAGAAGAAGACGAACATCATCAAATCAATGAAATCTTGAAGTCAGTTCATTGGCCAGATTCGCAGAGGATAAACAATCGATGAGAAGAGCAACATCCTATTCTGACAAACAAGTAACAACTGATATACTGATTAGTCTATTCGAATCCGTGCCTAGTCAGACGAAACGAACGACGAATGCACAGATAAATTCAATGAAGTATAAGAAAGAGTAGCCGAAGTTACAGAAAGAAGTGCGTCTATGTGCATTTTAATGATGTCTCTTTGGATATTATTTCAAAAGGTTGATCTATTAATTCGATAGAAATTGGTATTTTGTTTTTAGTTCAATAGAGAAGATCCATCAGTTTCTCATGCATCTTTCAAACGAACAGTAGAAGACGAACAACTTTGTAAAAGAGCATCATGTCGAATATTTATTGATTGGATGTTTCTATTTTTCAATAAATATCTCTTTCGATGTTACTTTATTCCAATTAATCATTTCAGCCAATTTGTTAATGCAATAGATTTAAGTGGTGAATATGAGGATCTACGTTGCCCTCTTCAAATGTCTAATCTTCTATGAAGATTTCATTTCAATGTTTTACTGATAGCGGAAGAACAGTATGGATATAACGATAATGCACCACCTTCTCAAAATCAAGTTAGACCTATAGAAAGGCGTAATCATCTCAATTAGCTATCGCCTCTTCGGATTACTCGGAATTGAATTGATCTTCTCTCTGCTCGAAACTCCTCAAAATCGTTTTTTATACCGAAAAGCTGGATTAAAAAAACAAATGGTCAATTAATCGTAGCCATAGTACATGCTTTTTTTTAATATCATTCTTCTCTACTTAAATTTTCGACATTAAATATGACCAATTATAACTAATACCGAATTG